CAGCAGAAATTTTTTGCGCCTTTTGTCCACTCAACATCTGTTTAAGAGAATCATGACAATGCTGAAGGAAGTACTGTGCTTTGTCTCCAAAAAAACAGACTGAAATGCTTTCTCATAGTGTGCCATCCTACATTTATCTCTTCTTATGCACATGTCTCACATGGAGAATTGAGGCATCTAAGAGAGAAAACTGATGAAAACTGCACTTCTCTGATATCCCATTTTGCTTTGAAACCTGGAGGAACCCAGTATTCGTTTAGCTAGGAGATGAAGTTGAAAATTCTTCTCTTCACAAGAGTTATCCCTTTTTTTCCCCCTGGATTTTGGACCATAGTTTTTGTGACATCTTATTGTATTTGACATTTTTAGATCAAGACCTTCAAATTAGGCTTCTCCTGTTCTCACTATAGGTGACTTTTACACATCACTCAGAAGTGGTGCTTCTGCTATGAGATCCTAAGGCTTCTTGTTAAAGCTCAGTCTTGTTGCAGAAAAAGATAAACTGTTTTCATTCCAGAATAATTGATTAAGTTTTGAAGAACGTAAAATATTCTGGAACAAAAGTGGCATAATTTTGCAGTGTTCTATATGCATTTGCAATTATTTTAGAATAGCTGTTGCAGAATGATCTATTTCTCTAGACATTGTCTTGTAAATTTGTCTTTGTAATTTCTTGCTCTGGCCTAGCTTTGTCTCTGTGAAAATGAAATTTTAAAGTAACAGTAATTTTCATGTACTAAAGGCATTCATGATGAATTTTCATGAATGCTGAATTCCTACTGAATAAGGGTCATCTTTACTTTTTTCTGTTTTCCATGTCAGAATTTAAAGTAGGTGGTTTTTTCTATCCTTTTGATAAGTCTCAACAACCACTATTACTTATTACTTCCTTTACTATAAAGGGATATCTTAATCAACATAGATTAGTATGTAAAAGAGTCTTCTATATTATTAAATAAAAATGAGAAGTTTGTAAAGACAATTAATTCAATGTGGACCTAAAGTACCACTCATTTCCTAAAGAAATTTCTGTGACAATTATGTGTCACATTTCCGTTTCATGTAGGTTATAGTCTGGATATCAGCATATTTGCTCTTTAATTTGTAACTTTGTTCTTGTTTATTGTGGGTATGTGAACCTACCATTCCAAACTGGTAAATAAATGTATGTGTCATAAATGTTTCTAAAAACCTTTATCATAAAACCCTGACAACAACAAAATCCTAATTTAACACACTAATGACAAGCCTAAAACACCCACTTGATAAAGGAATATAATTAACAGGTTTAATGTCTGTTAAGATATAGATGATTTCTGACCTTGCTCTCTTAGTTTTTTTCCTTGAAATTGTGGCAGAAATAGTATTTCATGTTTCTTAGTCATGTAATTACCACAGATTAAACAGGGGATAATTCTACACTGTAATCAAACCATACATTGTAATTTAATTAATGTAAAGGGATTACTACTAGTCTGCATAAGATCAATTACATTTGGTAATCTTCTACCAAGTCTGGAAATAAAATTTTTAATGGGTACAATTTTAACTGTGTTTTGCATGTGATGGTTTTGAGGGTGTTCTTTCCTTTGAGTTTTCAGATGGTTTTATCTCTTTTTTTTAAAAAAAAAAGGGATACTGTACTTAAAAGAGAATTTGAAAGCATGTTTCAGCATGCTATTTCTTTTGACTTTTTAGCATGTCACAGGACCTGTTGTAATTTAACTGTATTTTGTCTTTAAGTTTTTGTGTTGTCATGACATGTGTTGATTGGTGTGGGAGTGTGTCATCAAATAAGTGTATTTTCTTATTTGTAACCACAAAAAGAAGTGAGTTTAGCTGTTTTTTAACTGGGATCTTTTGAGTCAAGTTCTACACCTGCTCAATTGAAGCCTCATGCTTTTGCATGAGGTGTGATGACATCTTAGGATGTTTATTCATAGCATATTCTTTTATGATTCACAGACTGATTGCATAACAAAAGCCCTCCAGCAGTTCTTTTAAAAAATAACTACTTCCATCATATCAGTAGAACCCATTTTATGTATTTAAAGTATGAAAATAGAACAAATGCAATTACTTTGTAAGTTAGCTGCCAAATATTATTTGAGGAAAGTTATTCAAAATGTAATTGCTGAAAATGAGACGTAGAGGAAGGGTTTAAAGTCAGTTAAAATGTGTCAGTTTCTGAAGTTGTAAGAAGCTCCTCCTTTTGCCTTAGAAAAATTTACCTTCTAATTTGTTATTTGCACAAATTGTTTAATGTAAAATCTCCCTTTGGAAATGTTAAGTGTCATATAGAGAAGCATATAAATAAAAACAATTCAAAAAAAGAATGGGTGTTTATCATCTTTAGAAAAATATTCCTTCACAGTAAGTTAATTATTATGATTTGTGTTCATGATGCTGATGATTTAGTCAGGTTCACTGTGTGATGAGTGAGTCTCATACTCACTGGGTTTATGACCTGTATATTTACAGTAGGGTTATTGCACCTTTAAATATCTTAGTTGAGTTACCAGACGCTGTTTTGTGCATGTCTGAAGTGCCTGTATGTACAAGATGATTGATTATGATGGTCTACTGCTGTTACTAATTTGTTTCCCATTTCCGATTGGCTTTTACTTTTTACAGCTTTGAGCAGTAATTCAGTCCCCTACGCCTCCCTGATTGGCTCTGTGTCCTCCCTCTCTAGCCAAACTACCATTCAGTCCTTATATGATAATAACTCTCTCCCACGATTCGCTCGAAAAGGTCTAAACATCTTTGTCTCTATTATTTTCTCTGTTCAAGCACTGTTTTAGATGTACATCAGTCCACCTCCATTTCTGGATCAATCTAGAGTTCTCTTGTGCCTTTTCACCCACATATTTTCCATAGGGGTGCTTGATCTGGATCAATCCGTCTAATTATTAGATGACTGTCACCCACACTCATTTTGAGAGTAGCCAAGTCCTAAGTAAAATTTGTAAGAAATGGGAGAGAAGCAGAGCTGCAGCAAATAAATTAGAACTTAGAGACTAACCTTTTAATTTAAATTTTTAAGGAATCTCCCCAATGATCTGAATATTCTGCTGAATAGTTGACTGACAACTTGCCTTAATATCTTAACATCACAGATGTGCTATGAAGATTCCCTGAAATATATATATAGGGTCAGAAGAATTAGGGCCAGTGCTGCTGGACATTATTTTGGAGTCTATTATGATGCTTGAAATGTCAAAAAATCCAAAAGAAAACAGGAATTAAAAACAAAATTAGAATAATTAAAAGAATTAAAGCATATACTATAGCGTGACTGTGTTGTAGCCACATGGTCATTTTCAGCTATGTTTAAAGGAAATGCAAGTCAACTGTCTTAGGCATGCTCTTGAAAGTCACGGTGACAAAGCAAACTGCATTGTGCAACATGCCTTCCAGCTTGAGCCCCCTTGAGTCATCAGTGTTTTCCCTTTGTAATTTCAAGAGATCCTGGGGTTCACTAGCTTAACTTTTTCTTGCCAGCTCTGATTTCTTCCCATAGCTATTGAAACCTCACTTTCATTTTAGGTGTGATAGTCTAAAATATGAAGAGAAGAATGCAAGCATTTTGGAGAAAGCTCACGAAGAATAATAGCTTGAAATAAATATGTGCACAAAATTTTGCCTGTCAAATCTTAAGCTGGCAGATTGTTCTAGTTGACCCCACATCTTTTCTATCTTTTTTGGGTTTTTATTTTTATTTTTTGGGTTTGTTTTGTTTTGCTTTATTTTGTGTTTTTGCCTTGCTGTCCCTGTACGCCCTTACATACCCATCTGTACTTCCAATTCCAAGCCCTTCTTCTTTTTCACTTAGTATCTTCATCAGTGGACAAAGATGTTTACACCTGAAGTAGATTGTAGGTACTTTTAGAGGTTGATAAATGGGGTTAAAGACTAAGCATATTTTAAGGCACTAGTGCAGTCAGCATGTGAGTCCAGCCAAACTGTACAACCCCTGCCTCTACAATCTGCTACTAGTGAAAACATTTTTGGAGTTCTAATTGTCTTATGTCCAATGTTGTCTTCAGTGACTGTTGTCTTAAAGCAGTGATGCATGTTGTTCTAGTCATTCATAGCTGCATGTCAGTCACCTCAGAATTCTGTAAAATACTTAAGTATTTCTAATTTAGAGTACACAGTCAGTCCTCTATACCTTGATGCATTATTATTATTAAATCTTTCAATTTCATTATTTTATGCTTTATTTTATAAGTTAGTTTTATGTTGGTTTAGGTTTGTTTTTTTTTTTTTTTTCCTTTGCAGGTTCAGGTGTCTCTGGTTACCTTGGTAACCTT